TGATGATGACGTGAAAGAAGTGGTTCGTAACTGGTTTGCAGAGGGTCCTTTGCTGCTGGAATACGCAAGCGTGTCGAACGCTGGGAAAAGAGTATCAGTTACAGTAGAAGGGTGATTACGCCAGAGAAGTCAAGTGCACACTTGCACCATTTCATCTGCATAACTGTGCAACACTGCAAAAATGCATTCACTTATTGAATTACTCCGTACATATGGGCTCAAGGATATTAAATATAGATGAATCGGCTCAACGGATGTGAATCTGGGAATAAGAAAAATACAGAAAATTTGTTCAATCTTACTTTAGAGAAAAACAAGCTGAACACTGAAAACCAGCAGAGTAGTGAGCCTTCTAAGAGTGCATTACCATATATACCACAGATGAATGACCTAACTAAGGTGGGAGAACTCCTATTCCTATATGCTCCTCTCTTTCAGATAAATTTAACAAAAGGCATATTTTCAGAAGAAAATTTGTAGAAAACTGAATAGAATTAAAAATGATAGCATTTTTGACATTGGAAGCAGAAGGATTCAGTAATCGTTGACGAAGTTTCGCGCCGACATACGAAGTATATGTTCAAGTGCTTCCATAAGGAGTCTCATTCCTTTTCCAAGAAAGGAGGTTAGCCAAAAAAGACATTCCATCAAAATTTCATTATGGATGCAACAAAAGGGTTGCAAGTTTTGGGCGCTACAAAAGTTAACGACGTTTCAATACTGTGCAATCAAACCAAACATCTATTTATTCTCACATGGAAGACGCCATGAGCTCTCCACCTATTGATCCAAGGGATTGAACATTCCACTAATCACAGCGTAAAGCGTAACTCGCTATAAGTCGTCGAAAACTTAGAGCCGTCAAGAAGTTATGGCAAGGACTTGCTATGGTGTAGCAGGTCCTAAGGCAAATCTTTCGGTAAGGAGAGCTTGCCTCACGTATCACGGCCTTCATAGAGAATAGTCGAATCTTGTTATTCTCCGTCAGATAATGCCCATGCGAGTCCTAATGCTAGCCAACAATTTTCTTGTTACTGGTAAAGCATTTAAAAAATCGAGTACCCATACCATATAAAATCCACATCAACTGCGCATAAGTTAACCTGACGTGCACGATTCTGCACATAGAAAAGCCGTAGGCTTGTCGCGCTAGACTGAGCGGAATCGTCATCACGGAAGTGACGACGGCACAATACATTTAGTCAGCATCATTTTAGGAACTAAGAAAAAAAAA